GATGCTGAAAATAATTATAATTGAATTATGTTGAAAAATGTATTAGTTGGTTTTAATACAACAATCTGTGCAAACAACTTGACATTCACAAAGTCGCATGTTTTTGGGCCGAGGAGTGCAATTGCAGTTCTTAGGCATCTCACTTGCACTTCGTGCACCCAAGAAATCTAGGAAACAAGTAAATTTTGGGCTGCCTCTTTCTGTGCATGATCCACTAAACAATTGTCTTGATGGACACCACACTGGCCCCTGCTGTGTTGGTGCAACACTTGGTTCTTCTGTTTTTGTTTCGCATGTTAGATTAAAAAGCAAAACAAACTTAATAAATAAATGTGAAACAATTTTTGTTAACACAAACAAATTTATGTATATATATACCTTGTGAAAAGTGGGCTGGGAGAAGAGAGAAAAGGATACACGAAGCCAAGAAGATTGCACCAACCTTCATTTTGGTGTTTCTCTTTTTAATTTGGACGATTTTTATTTTTAATTGTATGTTATGGAATTTCAGTTGTAAATTGATACATATATAGCTGTTCTGCGATTTTTTTTTTTTTGCACCTCATAGTTTTGGAAATACAATTTAAACGTACACACCACATTTAATTTCATGTCATTAGTCAATTTTTTTTTAAATGACATTGGAATTACTCTGTATTATGGTATAACATTTATTTTTATTATACTCTCTTAAAATAATATCTATATTTCTGTTGACCAAAAAAAAAATGATAATAACTATATTCCTATATTCCTTAAAATAATATCTATATTTCTGTTGACCAAAAATAAAAATAAAAATGATAATAACTATATTAACTATATTCCTATATTCAAGTTATAAAGGCTTTTATCAGTCTATTTTAAAAAAAAATTATGATCATATCTAGATCAGATTTTATATTTCTTTCAGAAAATAAGAAAATATTATATTTCATGACATTCTGAACCTCATTACTATTAAATATTAATTCATACGTCTAAATTAAAAACAAAAAAATCAACATATGAATATGTTATGATTGAACTTGGGAGCAATAGATCAACGTGGTAGAAGGAAGATGAAAACTACATGGGTATATACTGATAATATAACGAGATATATTTGATTCAATCAATAAAGATCGTTGACACGAAATACATCGCTTTATATTTCTACATATTTTTGTGGAATATTTTAATTTACCGTTGGCGAGTTCGAACCTGTTAAATTTTATATTAATCAAGCCTATAGAACTTGGATTTAACTCTTTTTATATTAGATAACCATGCTTATTGATGATATAGATAATAATCAAAGTATGTTTTTTTTTTTTCAAAATGTATAATCATAATCAAAGTATGTTGTTCTCTCAACTGCGACTTTATTGCTAAACTAAACGCGGTGGACGACAAAGAGAAAACTTATTAAAACAAACGTTATGCAATTGGAATAACAACAAACCCTAATCAAAATAATAACTTAGTTCCCGCAAACGACAAAACAGTCGCATTGACGACGATTGTGAGGAAAAGGAGTGCATTTGCAATTCTTAGGCATAGCACTTGCACTCTTCGATCCCAAAACATCTAGGAAACATGTGTAGCTTGGCCTTCCTCTGTCTGTACACGACCCAATGAACACATCCTTCGATGGGCACCACTTTAACTCTACGTCATTCAAACAAAACATATATAGAGTGGTTACTGTATTGTATTGTACGTATATGGTTTAGAATTTTAAACCGGGGTTCGATTGATACCGGTTTCAAAATGAAAATGAGCTTCATACCTTTGGCAAGGTTGGTTGAGAGAAGGGAGAAAAGAAGACATGAAATTAATAAGATCGTAACG